TGATGATCATGAGGAGGAGGAGGACGAGGAGCAACAGGAGGAGGAGGAGGGGGGGGAATGACGAGCAGAAGGAGGTGGGGAGGAAGAGAGGCTGAGGAGGAGCTTGAGGAGGAGGAGTTGGAGGAGGAGGGGGAGGAAGAGGAGGAGGAGTAGGAAGAATGAGGGGGAGGAATGAGGAGCAGGAGTGAAGATAAGGAGGAGGAGAGGGAGGAGGCGGAGTAGGAGGAGGAGGAGGAGGAGGAGGGATGAGAAGGAGGAATGTGAAGGCGGGGGGAGGCGGCAAAATCAGCAGGAGGAGGAGACGGAGGAGGGGGAACAAGCATGAACAACAAGGAGGAGGAGGAATTGGCGGAGGAGGAGGAATGCTGCGGAGCCCGAGGGATGAGTAGCCGGAAGGGGAAGGGGAGGAGGACTGAGTAGAAAGAAAGAGGATGAGGATCGATTGTGATGATGATAATGCTGATGATGGTGCTGATGATGATGGTGATCATGATGACCATGCTGATTATGATGATGCGAGGATCCTGCTTTTGCTGATGATAACGGCGATGATGATGATGTTGATGATGATGTTGTCGCTGCTGCTGCTGACGACGACGCCGACGACGATGTTGATGATGCTGATGATGATGCTGATGATGATACTGATGATGATGATGCTGCTGATGATGATGATGATGATGATGATGATGATGAACATGATGATGGTACTGATGCTGATGATGATGACCATGAGGAGGATGCTGATGCTGCTTATGCTGCTGCTGCTGATGATGATGATGATGATGATGATGATGGTGATGATGATGCTGCTGATGATGACGCGACGTCCTGGGGCCTCCACAGGCCTCCTGGGGCTTCCTGAGACATCTTTGAGCCTCCTGGGGCTTCCTGACGCTTCCTGGAGCCTCCTGGGGCCTCCTGGGGCCTCCGGGGGCTTCCTGGGACCTTTTGGACACTGAAGGAAACATAAACAACGAGAAACCAAACACCCAGGGCTGAACAAACCAAACAAAACAAAGCAACACTTTTGCAGCACTTTCTCTGAAGGCGGGGGCAGTAGGGTAAATACAGAAATGCTTGTTTTTTGATTGTTTGGGTTTTTCATTTTGTTTCCAGTCTTCAGGCTTTGGTTTCTTTGTTTGTTGTTGTTGTCTCTACGTTTTGGGGGTTTTCCAATGCCCTCCTCCTCATCATCACCTCCAGCCTTCCCCTCGTGGAGGAGGAGATAGGGGAGGGGAAGGAGGAGGAGGAGGAGGAGGAGGAGGAGGAGGAGGGGAAGGGGGAGGAGGAGGTGGATCAGGAGGGGTAGGAAGAGGGGGAAGAGGAGGAGGAGGAGGAGGAGGAGGAGGAGGAGGAGGAGAAGGACGAGGATGAGGAACAGGAGGACGAGGAGGAGGAGGATGAGGATGTGGTGATATGGGGGCGTATGGTAGAAGAACATGTCTGATCTTTTGGGGGGCTTCCACACGCACACACATGTATATATGTACATAAATGTATGTATATCGGAGTAGGCCGGGGGGTGGAGCCCGGCTGGAGCCGCCATCCTCCATGGGCGCCCCTGCGACTGTCCCGGGCCGCTTCCCAATTGCCCGCGACAGGCCACGCGGGCCATACAGATGGTCAAGAACTCTAAAGTGAGCTGGGACAAGGGCGAGAGATAGCGAGCGTTTGTCCGCGGCCGTTTGTGTTCAAGCGGTCGGCCGCCAACAGATGATTGCGCCTCATTGCGAGGCGTATCATTTGCCATCGAGACCGAAAACGTCTTTTGCTTGAGATGGCCCGTCGATCCCGCGACGATTTCCTCCGACTGGGTTTATCGCTAGTACGGTACAACAGAGCTGGAGCTGCGCTTCGCCTAAGGCGAAGCTTCTGGACGGGCCTACCGGCATCCATGGTTCCGTCCGGGTGACCCAGTTGTCAGCAAGGCCATCAGCTAGGTCCGACGCCGCCGCCATCTGACGGGGCTCGGGAAGGCGGGCGGCTCGTGTCGCGGCGGCCGCCCCGGGGGCGCCGAGGCCGTGACGGCGGGCCTGCAGCTGCTGCTCGTTAGGTCGACCCTTTCAGTCCTGACGCTTCTCCTCTGTCTGGGCCATCGGGCCATCTGGCGGCCGTTCCTCGAATCTGTTTATATATGTTAAACTTTTGCACATACTTTGTGCCGCGCGCTGTTTGAATCTGCGGCCCCTGGCGGCGCCTTCAGCGCCGCCCTTGGCGCGCGGAGCGCGCAAGGGAGAGGGGTGCAGTGCCTATAGGATCTGCGCGGCATCCAAATGCCATGCTGATCCAGCTTGTTTTTCGCCAATCCATCCGGTTCCTTTTGCCCCCCTCCCCCGAAGCTCCGATCTGAGGAACGAAGGATGCCTGCGACAGGGTGGCGGAGTGTCATTGCTGGCGTTCGAATGTTCAGAAAGGGAATTGGTCGGCGCCTCAGTATGCGCGCCGTTCGCGCCATGGCGCATCAGGCTGCAATGCTGGCTTGCAGGTGACGTCTGCCTCCGCGAATATGATGCATTCCTTTATTTTCAAAAGCTGGTCGCTCCACACTTGCGCGCGCATCCTTGGGCAATCGACAAGGCAAGTGCGCGCGAGGCGGTTGTGTCTCTGGCGGGAGACCCCCGCCAGTGCAGCTTCTTTTCGCCGTCAGAATATGTCAATGTCCTGTCCTGTTGTTCACTCTTTTCACACCAGGGGCAGCGAGGAGTTTCGCTACGCTTTGTGTGCGCACCTTTGGATCGTTTACCAGGCAAGTCTGCGCTAAGCGATGCGTCTCTACCAGTGTATATAATATATCTATATATTTACATATATATATATATATATATATATATATATACACATATATATATATATATTATGGCCCCATGCTGGCGCCCAGAATGCGAGTGAAAGCGCGCGCCGGGACTGCTAGAACCTGAGCGCGCGCGAAGCGCGCGCGATGGTTCTTGTATAGTGTATATATCATATCATATCATATCATATCATATCATATCATATCATACCATATCATACCATATCATATCATATCGTACCATATGCGGGAGTACCAGGGGCCCGGGCCCCGGGCCGGGACACCCTCCCGGATTTCCCCCCCCACCTTTTGAGCACCCCCCCCCCGGTTTTTCCGTGGCCTCCCCCCAGGCCGCTTCGGCCGCCCCAAACATCCTGTGGGGCGCACGGATAAGCGACGAGAGCGGCGCGATGGGGTCCCAGACGCTCCGGGACGGCCTCAAGATTGCCGAAGAGCTCCCAAGAGGCCCCCAAAACACCCCAAGAAGGCACCAAGATGCTCCCCAAGAGCGCCCCGGATGGCTAAACATGTCGCATTCCCCTTGCGGAAAACGTGCATGTCCAGTATATTCGTTTCTTCGGTTTTCGCAGCGTCCGAGACGGCCCAAGAGGCCCCCAAAATCGCCCCAAGATTGCCCAAGAGGCCCCCGAGAGAGCCCCAAAACGGCCCAAGAGAGCCCCAAGACGGTCTTAGAGGCGCCCAAGACGGCCCAAGATGGCCCCAAGAGGGGCCCAAGAGGGGGAGTTCCAACTCACATTTTGAGCCCTCCGCCCCAAGTGGAACTCCCAAACCGCCAGCAGGCCCCCAAGAGACCCAAAAGAGACCCCAAGAGGCCCCCAAACAGGCCCCAAGAGGCTTCAAAACTTTCGGACAACGTACATTTTCAGCGCATTCGCTTCTTAGGTCTAAACAGCGTCCAAGACGGTCCAAGAGGCCCCCAAGATCGCCCCAAGATGGCCCAAGAGGCCCCACGAGAGCCTCAAGGCGGCCCAAGAGAGCCCCAAGACGGCCCAAGAGGCGCCCAAGACGGCCCAAGAAGGTCCCAAGAGGGGCCCAGAAGGTGAAACTCCAACTCAGATGTCAAGCCCTCCGCCCCAAGAGGACCCCTCAGACCGCCAGCAGGCCTCCAAGAGGCCCAAAATAGGTCCCAAGAGGCCCCCAAACAGGCCCCAAACAGGCCCCAAGAGGCTTCAAAACTGGTTCCAAGAGGCACCCGAGAAGCATGCCAAGAGACCCCAGCAAGTACGTATCCAAGAAGCCTCTGGCCCATAGCCCAGGCACGGTGGAGGTATGAGTCCAAAGGCGAGTAGATAAGCAGACAATTCGCCGGGCGAAGGGCGCGGACGCGGCAGGGGGAGCTCCCTGTGGGGCACGAGCCGTACGAGGCGTGTGCCGAAATGGGCGGGGGGGCGCCTTGCTAGGTTGCCCACTGGTGCCATTCAAACGACGCGAAGATCGGGACAAAATCGGATCTGAGAATCGGCGGGTTTGGAGGATGTATTGGGCGCCGCGGCCGAGCGTTCCGGAACGCTCTGAGAGCGCTCCGGAACGCTCTGGAGCGATTTATCCCGATCTTAGCCCTGCTTTAGCCATAGGTGGAGCTCCTTCCGGGGGCACGATTCGCGTGAGGGGCGTACCGAAATGGGCTTGAGCATGCTGTGTGAATCGGGGGCCCCCAAACGGGGTGGTGACCACACCGTGCGGTGCGTCGGTGAGGATTCGGGGTCACCGCACGGTTTTGGGACTCGAGTCCCTCTCCGAGGACGGCTCGAACGAATGGGGCCTCCGGGGTCCCAAGACCGTGCGGTGACGGACCGTGCGGTGAGGTCTTGGGGGATTTCGAGGTCACCGCACGGTCTGTCACCGCACCGTTTCGGGACTCCCAAGTGAACCTGTCTCTGGAGCTGTGGATGGTGCTCCCCGTGGAGCACGATTTGCGTGAGGGGTGTGCCCCACTGGGAGGATGGGGTGGCGCTGTCTTGAAGAATGACCAGGCTCCCAGATTGCCGACCTGGGCCACTATTTGTTTGGCGCATAGGCGCAAGCCCTCAGTTTAGCCACCTCAGGCCGGCGTTTCGCCGGAACTCTGCGCTGGCACGGCGTCCAGTGTGATGCCCTCCGCCAGCGTCCTCGCCGCCCCGCTGAGTTTCCGCGCTCGGCCCCAGTTTGACTCCCCTCCCTCTCCGAGATCCCTTTCCCTTCTCGCCATCCTGCTGGCCAAGAGGTTCCTAGAATTG